CTTCCCCTTCCCCTTCCCCTTCCCAGCAGTCTGGGTCTGAGCTGTCAGCCATCAGCACAAACCTCAAGCGGCTCCATGGCTGCTTCACGGCCCCAGACCAAAGGCTTCTCCTGGCCCCACCCCCATATTGCACCACAGAGCCAGCAGGTGCCTAGTGCCCCGTGATGCTTGCCTTGACCCGGGTTCTGGCAACCCACGCTATACCACTGGCTGTCCCCAAAAGGTTGTGAGGGTTTTTTTCAGACTCCTGTCTTTTTTTAAAAGAAAAAACTTTGGAAGGCAGGGGCCACAGGAGCGAGTACCTAGGATCCTGGGATTGGTATGGCCCTCCAGACCTTAAAGGGACACCTCCTTGTCAAATGCAAATAAGTCTTCACAATCAGGTCTAATTCCCCCCCTCCCCACAATTTTTGGTCATGAGAACTGTTTTGCAGAGTGATTTCCTGTGTACTAAGATTGCAACACAGGGCCTGTTGGTATAAAATTCCTCCAGCACATGGTGACTTAAGAAAGAAACTCATGAGGTACAGTTTTTGTGAGGCCCTCTGTCAAAGATAAATGTAGATTTATAGGCATGTTTTAGGAAAATGAATACTATCCAGTCAAGATTAAACTACCCAGTCAAAAACCTTCAGCAAACACCATAATTCCACCAAAGTCTTTGCTGTGGTTTCTTTCTTTGTACCTTACAATACATAGGCCAGTAAACTACTGCTTGTCCCAACTAAAAGTAAGCCCTTTGAATCAACTGCTATAGAATTGATCAACACTTGCATAGATCCTATTGAGTAAATGGGTCTCCTGTAGTTGGTCATGTTATATAGAAATTGGGAAATGCAGCTGCTGACCTCAAAGACAAAATGGGAATTGCCCATTGCTGCTACATGGGGGTTGAAGAGGGAAAGGGATTCAGCCAAGGCAAGAGAGAGATTTCTGAGTTGCAGAGAGTCTTTACATTTTTGTAAATGGAGAGCAGACTTTTTTTTCCTTTGTCCCCCAGACACATAGTAGGTGAAGCCCTATAAATGTAGCAGAAATTTAATTCAGTGTACAAGCTCCATCTTGGGATGAGTTTAACTGTGGACCTCATTGGCTGCACAACAACTGGGCTAATTCTTGGATCCCCATCTCAATAACTAGGCAAATGAAGTCAGTGGATGGGAAAATTTGGCCTTCTACACATTCATCTGGTGATCTGAAAGAGGCCCCTACATGTGGAGCAAATAACAAAGTTCATGCACGTCCAATGTGTGTCCGAATTAGAACTCAAGTGCAGAATCCGAATGGAGTGGTGGATGGATGCCACCTCCTGATGGCCCTCTGAAGGGTGGAAACCTCAGTGTGCTAGGAGGAGAATCTTCACAGGCTAGATTAGGCACATGGCCTGAGAGCTCCCCTGTCCTGATGTACAAAGTGTGGCACCATTTATTCCAAAGATGCAAGCCTTTGTGTGGGAGTTCTAATCAGCCAATCGATTAGAAACACATATTGTAGAAGGGATGGGTTTGTGAGCTTTGCCCCATCTGCTGTTGTCCTGTTGCCCCCTCCATCGCTCTCCCAGTTCCACAATGGCAATGGGTTGCAAACCACATGGAGAGTCCTCTGTGTCTAGAGCAAACTGCAGGAGTTTGTCCACAACTAGTGAAAGGCAACAGACGGCAGCCCAGGTAGCAATGTGAGAATAGCAGTCACATATCTGCAAATAAATAGGTAAAGGAAGTGACTCTCCCAGTCTCCTTCCTGCAGTGCTTTCCACAGGGTGACTGGCAAGACACTCAAAGAAGGCTTCTGCCTTTTTGTTCTCCAGAAGAAACAAAGGCTTCAAAACATGCACTGAAATCCCCACTGTCTAGGAAAGGGAGACAAGACGTGATCTTTGACTACTAACCTTGAACTTCCAAAGTAATGTACTTGTAGTCCGCATCTTTCTCATACTGAATAAGACAAATATACATCCCTGCGTCTGTGATCTTTACGTTGGTGATATGTAGCATAGAATGTCCCCTTTCTAATCCTTCAAGCAGCATCACCGCTCTCCCTTGATAATCTCTGTGCTGCCGGACGAGGTCTTCTTTGCCCCTGCTGAGCAGGTAGACTTCTTTTGCCTCTGGTGGCCTTAATGTCTTTTTTTGCCATAAGACATTTAAAGCCATCAAATGGAACGGGTCTGCTATGGGAAAGCGACATCCCATGGTCACATTGTCCCCACGCTTTGCAGAATAATGTGGCTGAAGAACATCCACTGTGAGTGAAGCTGAAGACACAGAAACAAAGCACAAATAGCCATCAAATGAACTATGTATTGGCATTTGGATGGGAGGGAGAGTGAAGGAGTTCAACAAAGAGTGGAGTCACACACAAAGACAAATGCCTATATAGTCCTTTTATAACATTATCCCTCCAGGCATTCCTTTCTTTCAGTGTTTATATGACTGAGGCATTAGACATGCAAGCCAGGCCATGCTATCTTCTCAAACAACTAACTGCAAAACAATACAAAACTAACTTGCCAAATGCAGATTGAGGCAAGCCTACCTTGAAACAACTAGTATTTTCTTCTTAAGGGTGCACTGCTTCTAAATATGGAATCAATGTCTTATCTCGTACAGTCACATATGGGTCCTATGCAGTTTTCTAGTCAGAAGCCAGTGACTGAGCTGGGGCGGTGAATGGGCAGGGGAGTGAGGGGGAAGGCTAGCAAGCGAGTTTTTCTGCTCCTGTCAAAGGAGTTCACATATGTGGAATTTAGTCCAGTGAATTGATTCCACATCTGCCTCAAAATAAATGGATCTCTGGCACAGAAGCAGAGAAATTCATTCCCCTGGCACATTACTTCTCACATGCATGGACATAGTGTGTATGCGAACATTTATGTCTTTTTTTAAAAAAACCAGAACCTGACAATAACAGCATTTTTAATTGTCAGTGAGACTGAGCCCACACTCTAATGTTATCAGTGTAAAACTTTAGCATGGAAAAAAAATGTAAAAAGATGGACAGTTCCTGAGGCTGGAAGACATGTGGTTTTCAGTTTTCAAGTTCCAGAATGCCCTCAGCTGCATACCATGAGGGATTCTTTTGTAGGCCCCAAAGGCAACTTTTCTAAGGGGAGACAAATATAAGTATTGGCACCACAGGTGCCTGGGCCATTTGTACCCTCCCCCCACAACTGACTGGTCCACTTACCACTCGCTGCGCAGTGCACATAGCCATTGTCGTTCAAAATGCACTAATTGCAGAGGTAGCCTGGTCAGCGCTTCTCTGCCTCCCTGCGCAGCCAACCTCTCCAGAGAGGGGGGCGGAATGACGAGTCTCCCCACGTAGCTGTGCAGGGAGGCAGAAAAGTGCCGGCTGGACTACGTCTGCTATTGGAGCGTCACAAACTACAGCGGCTGCATGCGCTGCTTGGCGAGTTGTAAGTGGAATGGCTGGTTCTGCGGGGAGGATCGAAATGGTCCAGTGCCAATATTCATATTTGTCTCCTGTGGGAGATGAATACATATATCCCATATCTACTCTGTATTATTCTAGGTGTGGAAACCTAGATATAGGCTGTGTGTGGTCAATGGGCCTCATATGAGGGCTCTTAGCAGCCCAAAGTCTCTAGCATTGACAAAGTGGCTCAAAATGTCCCCAAACGGCAATGTTCTCATGATTTGAGGGCACTTCAACCTCCCCCGTGTCCCCATACTCTCCATTTTTAAGAATTGCCCACTAGAGAGCATAAGCGAGCATGTTCAGTTTTTCTTAAAGTTTCAAGTTGTAAGATAATGATGGTGATGATTCTGTAACGAATAACATCCACTGTAACAAGGAAATTGATGTGATGTCGTGGGGAGTAAGACGCACGGTGTTATGGCCCTGCTGGACAAGTTTTCTGATGAAGATGAGCTTCTTATTCACCATGACAGTCTCATAGGAGCATGGGACAGGGAGTTCTTTGAGAGGTTCTATAGAGCTTTATACACTATTAGACTACCTGTCCCATGCTCCCTTGAAACTCTCATGAACCCTTGCTTCTCCCAGGCACTAGCAAGAGCAGTTTCTTTTTTCTTAAAAGGCCAATAAAGGCAGCTATGGAATGCAGGAACTTGTAAACTCTCCAAGCCCTCTAGATAGTTTTGCAATTATTGAGTGAATCCCAGTTAAACTGATATGCAACTCTGAAAAGTATATGAAAAATGATCCAAGTAAAAGCTCTCACCTGCTAGGAAAGTAAGCTGGACTTCTAGAAGCACAGCTGTCAGGAACCTGAACATATTTCCTAGGTATATCTAAAATACAATATTAATATAATTAATATTCACAAATATTTGAGCAGGCTAAGACATGCAAAGGCGCAGGGCAGTTGCCGGTAGCAGAAGGCATTGTCTAAACTTCCAAGAATGGATTTGCAAGTAAAAATGCATCCTTACTCCTGTTTCAAAATAACTTCTTGATTGAGTCCAGGAACTTTGACATGCTATGCCTTCTACTGGCAAAGCATTCTTTCCACCCAGAATAATGGCAAGAGGGGTTGAACTACATATCCCATAATCCCTTAACATTGGCCATGTTGGCCGGGGCTGGTGATAACTGTAAGCTGAAAGAAATGAACATGTTTAGTCTTTGGAAAAGAAGCCTGTGGGGAAATATGATAGCACTTTTCAAATACTTGAAAGGTAGTCAAACAGAGGAGGATCGGGATCTATTCTCAATCATCCCAGAGTGCAGGATTCGTAACAATGGGCTCAAGCTACAGGAAGCCAGATTTAGGCTGACTATCAGGAAACATTTTAACTGTTAGAGCACTATGACAATGGAATTACAGTGGTGCCTCGCTTGACGACATTAATCCGTTCCAGCGAAATCACTGTAGAGCGAAATCATCGTCAAGTGAAATAAAAAAGCCCATTGAAATGCATTGAAAATGGTTCAGTGTGTTCCAATGGGCGAAATACCTGGTCGTCCAGCGGAGATCCTCCATAAGGCGGCCATTTTCTGCTCCCTGTATAGCAAAAAATCCATCCTAAAAACAGCAGGAAGCCATTTTGCACAGCGCGCAGCCATTTTGGAAACCCGACGATCAGCTGTTTTGATCGTCATAAAGCGAAAAATCAGTTCCGAAGCAAGGGAACCAATCATAATAAAGCGTTTTTTTCCCCTTTAGAACATCGTTTTGCGATCGCAAAAAACTAATCATCAAGCAGACTAGTTGTTTAACGAGGTAGTCGTTAAGCGAGGTACCACTGTAATTACTTTGGGAGGTAGGGAGAGCTCCAAGGCTGAAGACATTCAAGAGAAAATTGGGCAACCATCTGTCAGATTTGCTTTCATTTCTGTTCCTGCACTGGACCAGAAGGTCTTATAGGCCCCTTCCCACTCAGTTATTCTATGATTCTATGACATTTGGAGGGCCAAAGGTCCTTGCTTTTGTGCTTCAGGTATTATTAAAGTACAAAGGTAAAATATCCTTTTTTTCTCTGTGTTTTCCATCTCTATAAAATTGGCTCCAAGATGGCATCTGTGTCATAAATGCATGTAGGTTTCCAAGAGCAGCTTTACCAGGAACAGTTCTGAACACAGGTGGGTGTATTCATATATGGCCAAGGCCTTACCAAAAGCCTGTATGCCCCAATGCATGAAAAAGCAAAAAGTGCATAAACAGGGTCTCTGCATTTCCTCTGCTGTAAGCAAATAATTCAGCACTGTCATGTTGCTTTCTGTTCCAGCCGAGGGCATGCCTGATGCTGGGGGACACAAAAGACAAAGCACTTGACAATCTGGGCGAAGAGCCAGATGGCTAAGCAATGTATTATACATTACACCCTGAGTTATGCTTACTTGAAAAAAGCATATCTTTATACTTTTCCAATTGGTCTTTGGTTTGTTTATTTTTTTGCATAAAAGCCTGCCTGTACGTTATCGTTTTGGACAGTCCAGCCCTGTGAACTGCTTTGTAGAGTAAATGACTACTTGACTGCTGCAGGATGGAAGCCCCCATGCCACATTTTAAAAAAGGCAATAAAACACAGGACTATCCTGTGTTTTCAATGCATTTCCCTGCAGATATTTCACTTCTTTTCTTCTTACCCTAAAAAAAGACCCAATCTCAAGGTTTATTATTTGTATATTTATCTGAAGTATTTTAAACCTGCTTTTCAACTTCAAATTCTCCCCAAATAGCCTACAGACCAATTAAAAAAGCCAAGAGAGCCCCATCCCCTCAAACTTAGGAACTGAAGCATACAAGCAATACAAAAGGAAAAAAAGGTGGGGATGGCAGAGGATTACAAGTTAATGCTGGTAATAAATGTTAGAAACGTCTTACAACAACAGCTGAGAAGGAAACAGTTCAGAGGGAGAAGCTGAAGCCCTCCTGTCCACACACAATGTTTTTATTCCATTGCTTTCCAGTTGTCCACAACCTGTTGCATGAAACTTTATTCTTTCAGTAGCTGGACAGGGGAGCTACCTTGTTCCCCACTTTTCCTCCATTGCAGTTTGATGGAACAGTTGTTATGGGGTGACACTTCAAGGTGGTAGGAATTCGATGGAGCTTTTTGGAAGAAGGAGACAAACATGTTCTCCTGTGCAGCATAATAACACATACATCTGGCCTGTGTCCAAACATACAAGGCTGTTAAAGCATTGTTGCCAAAGATCACAGCACTATGTTGTTGTTTAGTTGTTTAGTCGTGTCCGACTCTTCGTGACTCCATGGACCAGAGCACGCCAGGCCCTCCTATCTTCCGCTGCCTCCCGGAGTTCGGTCAAATTCATGTTGGTCGCTTCAATGACACTGAACAACCATCTTGTTCTCTGTCATCCTCCTCTCCTCTTGCCTTCACACTTTCCCATGTCAGGGTCTTTTCCAGGGAGTCTTTTCTTCTCAGGAGATGGCCAAAGTACTGGAGCCTCAGCTTCAGGATCTGTCCTTCGAGTGAGCACTCAGGGTTGATTTCTTTCAAAATGAATAGGTTTCTTCTCCTTGCAGTCCAGGGGACTTTCAAGAGTCTCCTCTAGCACCACAATTCAAAAGCATCAATTCTTTGGCGATCAGCCTTCTTTATGGTCCAGCTCTCACTTCCATACATCGCTACTGGAAAAAACCATAGCTTTGACTATGCGGACCTTTGTTGGCAAGGTGATGTCTCTGCATTTTAAGATGCTGTCTAGGTTTGTCATCACTTTCCTCCCAAGAAGCAGATGTCTTTTAATTTCATGGCTGCTGTCACCATCTGCAGTGATCATGGAACCCAAGAAAGTAAAATCTGTCTCTGCCCCTTCTATTTGACAGGAGGTGATGGGACGGAAGACAATCATTCCTACCGTTCTCATGCCTGGAGAAGTGGACTTCTCCACAAAAGCTCACATTAAAATATAGCAATTAAGTTTTTAAGGTGTCACAACATTTTTGTCCTCTTTATTTTTTAAATTTTTTAAATTTTGCCTGACATGCCAGCACAGACTAACATGGCTACCTCTTCTAAAATTCATATTGCTCTAGCTGTAGGTGGGGACTCATAGAACAGGAGTGTCTATCCCTTTAAAATAGCCCATCAGAATTAAGATTGCTGCACACCTGAAGGAAACAGTTTCCATGCCAGTGCGGCTGTAGATCGACACCATAACTCTTAAGGAGGCTGCAGGCATCACCGTACAGGTGAAGGGCAGTACAGCTGCACACACCTACACCCAACATTCTTGATGCCTTTATGTGCGGGAGGGTCTTGTCCCACCAACAGGATTGCTAATTCTCCAAGTAAGATTCAGCTGCTGGTCTGCTCCGCTTCTGTAGGTGGGTCAGCCTCGCAGGTTGGCTTCTGAGAGAAACTCAGTAGCAAAGTGTCTTATTCTGACACACTGGGGAAGCCTATAAACAACATAAATACACAAGTCCTCATATTTGAAACCAGGGGTGGATCTGCCAGATGTTTTGCATGGCCACTCTCATGGTCCCTTACCATTGGTTAGGCAATAGATTTTGGAGACTGAAGCTCAAAACATCTGGAGGGCCAATGTTGCTTCACCCCTGTTATTGAACCCAGAGGCCCTTGTCTTTCAGTTTGCCTACTATCAGCTGCACTCATTTACCAGTTCCCATTCATCTCCTGACAGAGAGAAAAATTTTATTGAGCAGGATAAAAAAACCACTGGTTGCAAAAAACAAGAGAAGTACTTGTGTAACTATAGCAGAATTATATTCACCTGTGAAGCTAAGTCAACTCTTCTCCATCCCTGGAGTCCTTTTTCCAGATTCCCCCAGGCTTTGCTTGATAGATGTGCCTCCGGACAGAGAAGAACAAACTGAATGATGCTTCAACAGCAGCTCCTTGTTTAAAATCACTTTCTCTTAAGCAGCCTCCTTTGTGGGGAAATTATGATAATCAAGCTGGTAGTTTTACTTTCATTTTAAGTATGAACATTATTAACCTTTTGAACACTGATTAACTTTTAGTTACTGTCTCAAGGACTCCAAATTGAGTTAGGTATCATTATTAAAAGAGACTCATTGCTTACTATTGGAAAAGATAAAAAAATAGTTTTATTTATTTATTTTACTCAGAATCCTACAAGCCACAGGTTTGTGGTAGAAAACATAACTGCAGCTACATGGTCAAATGCTGTGGGATTTGCTCTATATATTAAACAGGGAAATTCAAAGTTTCTATACTGACCACATGACACAAAGGTTGATCAAATGGCCCAGCCCTTTTTGCTCCTAAAGCACCTCTTTCCCCCCTCTCTCCCACTGGAGGGGCTTTGCTTTTTCAAGCAAGAACAATTTGTGTAGGCTTTTTCTTATATGGTTAGTTGTGACACATTCTTGTAAAGATGGAGTATGTGTCTGTAGGTGGTGTTTCAGTGATATAGGAAGTTGGGGTATGATGGTTAGGCCTGGGAGAAACCCCACCCCCCATATTCTTTCCTCTCCCCCAATCATCCCTGGGGTATGATGGTTAGACCTGGGAGAAAGCCCACCCCCCCATATTCTTTCCCCCAATCATCCTTCAATTTTTTTAAAAATAAAATTTCTTACACATATAAGCTTAGCACTAGAATGCCCTATCACTTTATCAATGCGGAATCATCCTTCAATATTTTAAAAAATAAAATTTCTTACACTTATAAGCTTAGCGCTAGAATGCCCTATCACTTTATCAATGCGGTCATTGTTATCTTTATTTCCCATATTTTCACCACTGTCAGTTCCCCATCAGATTGACAGAGATGGGGCCAGACAAAGGAAGGAAAGAAAGGGCTGAGAGGTGACTCACATTAAATTCAATATGAATCAATATTTTAAAAAATAAAATTTCTTACACTTATAAGCTTAGCGCTAGAATGCCCTATCACTTTATCAATGCGGTCATTGTTATCTTTATTTCCCATATTTTCACCACTGTCAGTTCCCCATCAGATTGACAGAGATGGGGCCAGACAAAGGAAGGAAAGAAAGGGCTGAGAGGTGACTCACATTAAATTCAATATGAATGATGAACTCCCAAATCAATCTGCAGCCCCTGTGTGAGCACTGATTGAGATTTCAAATGTAATACAGATTCCGAATCAAATCACAGCAAAGCTGAATTATAGCTTTCCAGTGTAGTTGCACCCTAAGTACTTAGACCATACATGCCTTTAGCTATGAAAATTACTAAAACAATTATAGTTGCACCATGACTGCCACTTGTAGCCTTAGAGTTGTAATGCAATTTAGGCAGATCTCCAGTGCAGGAATAAACTGGCAGATGTGTGGATTTGGGCTGAAGTCATGTGGATTTTAGCCTGAATACAAAAGTTTTGTGTCAGTATGTGTATCTGCATATACCACCACTACCTGTCAAAAAAAAAGAAAAGTAAGTCACAGGTGGTGGGAGGGAGGGTGATTAGGGGGCAATTGGGCAGGCAATGGAGTGGAGATTGGGCTTGTGATGGGGCATTCAGCTGGCGGGGTCGATCAGGTGATGGGAGACATTGGGCAGGCAATGAGGGGCAATTCGAGGGTGGGAGAGTGAATTGGGAGGGGGCAATCAGGCAAGTAATGAGGTCATGTGGCTGGTGGGGGGCTATCATGGGATGATCAGTGGGGGGTCCGGCTGGCAGGGGGTTTCAATTGGGCAGACAGTGTGTGTGTGTGTGTGTGAAGCAGTTAGCAGGGGTGATCAAGTGAACCATAGAAGAGCAATCTGGCTGGAGGCGCAATCAGGCAGGTGATCAAGAAGAGGAGTAAGTTATTCTGTTGGCAGGTGGGCAATTGGGTGGTTGGGAAGGAGAGAAGCATGGTGCTTTAATTGTTTTTAAAATTCCTGCTATCTGGTACATATAGCACTGTATCAGGTAACAGGAATATTTTTAAAAAGAACAGCAGGGGGCATACATACATGTGGAAGCAATTCCAATTAATCAAGTCCATATATGTATCAAAATAAATGGACCTCTGTCAGAGAAGCAGGTGTCCTGTGTGTATGCTAAAATGTTTTCAGCCCAACCTGATACAAAATAGGATTTTTTTCAGTGGGATTGAGCCCTTAGTTGTGCCTTTGCCTGATACAAAATAGGATTTTTTTTCCAGTGGGATTGAGCCCTTAGTTGTGCCTTTCTAACTACAACATAAATTACTTGCAAATGGTTCTTTGTAACTATTTACTTCTAACCTCTGCCATGTCCGTGCAAAAAAAAAAAGTATTTTCCTAATTGTATCTCTTTTCCTCTGCTTCCACCCCAAAAGGTAACAACAGATTATTTATTTGGGGCCCTTGTAGATACATAAGATCCCAGTTTATGGGCAAATGAAAATGATCTCAAGCCACTTGACAAAGGCCTATGAGTTTCCAATGTATTCAGAATTTTAAGATATCAATTTGGAGACAGGGGAGGCAGGAAGCTGGATAGGGAGATTAAAAAAAATCAAGAATAAGCCTGCTTGTGGTTATTATACCTTGTAACAAGTTACTAGGTTAGCACTATGTCAGATGAATAATGTAGTGGTAATTCAGAAGTGGCCCTGTCTCATAAATTCAGTGCTATGTCACTGTGGATCCGCTATAGGGAGAAAGGTGGCATAACACAAACAAACAAACAAACAAACAAACATGCTGGAGTATGGGAGTCAGGAAGACATGTGCCATGAAATTACAGAAGCAGGAGTTCTATAGAAGCAGGAAGGACTAGGGTAAATCTCTTTTTATTTTACTCTGCAAAAAGGAGCTCACTTTTAATGGATCTGCAGTTAAATTTTCTATCTGATCATCATTTCCTTGAACTGCTAAAGGAAATGGTAATCACATTTAAGAATCCCACAAGACAAGCATCAATTCGCATGACTGACTTGCTCAGCCCCAGAGAGCTTTCAGTCTGTGCCAGAGGAGAGTACTAAATCTGTTTACTTAAGTCCCAGTGTGCTCTGTGAAGAAATAGACACTACTAGGTAAATGTTTATTCAAAAGATACAAATTTCATAGTAGCATCTTGAAGGAATCCCTTGCTAAGCCATTCATCATCTTGCCCTTAAGGACAGAGCAGTGAGATGGGAGTATGTAAGTATACGGTACACATAACTAGCCTCTTTTCCTCAATTCAGGTAGAATGTCAAAAGAAGAGAAACATAATCTCTGTGGCTGTAATTCACCGATGATGCCATGCAAAAGGTTGATGATGTCATCATCAGTGGCATTTATTTTTAATTAAAGGTTTCCTATCTCCCCCCCCCGCCCTGGATTCTGAGACTCCCTAGGGACTCCCTTTCCATCTGGGGAAGCTTTTAGGGGCCTTAGGATGGGGGGGACTTCTGGGACTGGGACAGTGGTGATTTTTAGACAGTGGGACAGTGGTGATTTTAGAGCCTGCGTTTCTGGCCGGGAGCTCGTAGGTCTCCAAAGTTTTCTCCAGGTCAAAAAGGAGACCTGAAGAAAGTTGGCATCTTGCAGGGAGGATAGGAAACTTTTAATTAAAGATAAATGGCCATGGCTAATTACATCATTAGCCTTATGCTCATGGAGCTGTACCAGCAGGATTCCAGCCACTATTTGTAATGGTTATGCACTCTTACACTGTATAGCACATCAGAATGCAATTGCAATATTTGTTAAATTCTCTTCTGTCCATAGCTTTTAGATTTGGCTCTTAGATTATATTTTAGGATTCTTCCAGATGGCACATTTGCCCCCCTACACCAGTGGTTCCCAGCCTTGGGTCACCCAGGGGTTCTGGGACAGCAAATCCCAGAAGCTTTCATTACTAGCTGTGCTGGCTGGGGTTTTTGGGAGTTGCAGCCCAAGAACACGAAGGTGTTAACGAAGGTTGGAAACCACTGCCCTAGATGTATCCCACTGCCACTGGTGATAGTGAATTTTTTTCTCACCATTCTAGTGATATTTGCCTGAAACTGGTATCACCACTGGCAAGAAGTGACAAAATTGCTTTCCATTTTGTCTTTGTTTCCCCCCACCCCCAAACCATTTCCTATAGGTGAGTTATGTTTGTTTGCCAACTAAAGTGCCCACTTTACTAGAGTCAAGTGTCAGTTTACTAGAGCTGTAGACAATGAAGGAGTTAACAATTTAAATTAAAGGAAGTGGTATTTGTTACACTTTAACACTTGACAGAGGTCAGGTGCCTTTTTTCATGATGTGTCACACAGCCCAAGGGAGCTTGGCTAATCAACCAAGGATTGCTTTTCTTTTCATGTTATATTCAGAAACATAATGAAATTTACCTTAGGGGTTGAAAATGATAGAGAATGAAATTGGGGCCAATGCACTCATCAAGCGACCAACATGGAGAGCAGGAAGGTAGAACTCTTTGAATGGCACAATTACAAGATCTAGGAGAAGGATCAGAACGTACCAACAATCAGTTCCAAAGTTGATCCTTTCTCACATAGGGAAATGTTACAAAAGTGCAGTTGATCGTTTATCAACCAGAGTCTCACCCAGACTTCCTTGCAGTGGCTCCTCTCTACCAACACTTCTAAAGGTAGTAAGTGACACGTACTGTTCAGAAGCGGGTTTCAGCTGCTGTAGGAGCCTCAGTTTGCCAATGAAGACCCTTAGCTGGAGGATGCTGTTGCAGATAAAGTCTACAAAATCACTGACTAATAGTGAGCCCAATACTATGTGTTCTGGTATAGCTGGATCTGTTAAAGTGAAAGCAGCCTCTACAGACATACTGTGCACTCTGTAGGCAGGCCCATTACTGTATTAAATAAATGCAAGGTAGCAGTGCAGAACAAACCACTGAAGCAGTGTCTCTTGAGAAACCACAATCCACCTCCTTAAATACTTTTTCTCAGAGGGGAACTCTCCAGTAGAAATTCTTTGAGCCAATGTTGGCACTAATCCACA